CTCTTTACTACAAGATAATCATCCTCTGGTCAAGAGTTAAAATGTGTCCTTTTGAGATGACTATATTGTGTGAAAAAAAATCACTATTTTATGCAGATGTCATTATTTGGAGAGCATTATAAGTAGTTTGCAGGAATAAGTTATTATCTTGTACGTATAAGATATAAAATATTACTTTTGCATGCATGATTACTACTCTTTCCTTGAAGATAATTATACTTTGTGCATTAAGTAATACTTTGATATTTAATTGGGTCAAAATTTATCAATTGTATGCCTAAAATAACTTGTTTGAATGAAAATATTACTGAGTAAACAGGAAAAAAATGACTGATGACTTAAAGGTCTCTGTAGTTTTGAGACAGGGTAATATTTAAAGAAGACAAAGGTCAGAGTTAACATCAGGTTGCAGAGTTGTAGCCGTGGATTCTGTTTCTTCAGCATCTGTGCACGGGTTTGTTTACTTTAAGAAAACAGATGTTTTTCATATTTTTGTCACTTTTTAAATGCATTTTGAAAGATTATATTCATCCCTTTATTATATTATTTCAGTGTGACTGACTTTTATTGTCAAGGATCTGCTTCATCACTCTCCTTTGTTAAACTTGTAGTGACTCAGAGTTTATCTTGCTGCAAACAGCTCATTTAAGACAAAAAGCTTCCTTTCTCCTCTTAAACCTGTGCGTTTTCTCTTTGAGACATAAAGGTAATATCAGTAGGAAGACAGAGAAAAGCTGTGAGCAGATTTTAATTTGAACATCAGGAGTCACATATGTTGAAGCTGTGATTTCTCACTCTGCAGCATCTGTGCACACATTTTTTGATTAGTCGCGGTGATTAAAACATTTTTTCTTGAAATCAGCTTCCCTGATGCAGTTTGCAAGGACTTCCCTGCCTCTCAGACGACATTTTTAAGTCTCCAACAGGTTGAGCTCTTCCTGGACAACATATTGGTGTTTGTGCCCTTGGTCAGCGAGGATCTGGACCCTCTCTCCTGCACCAGCGGCCTAACTTGTACCAGAGCGTTTCAGCCCCGGTCTCCCCGCTGTTTGGCATGCTCCGTGGCACCGAGCGCTGAGGGCAGAGCGTGTCACCGCGCTGGCACCGGCCTGAACTCTTTCAAGGTTACTCTTTGATTTAATGGTGATGCATTTTTTAAAACCGCATCATCCCTCTCTCTCTTGCCACCGCGCCTAGTCCATCTCTGTCACAAACACTGGCGGAGCGTCTCACCTTTAGCAGTGGAAGCACCAGGAGAGGTTGTTTAAGATATAAATCAATGGCAAATGAAGCACCCTGGCTGGCCCCTGATTGTTTTACCTGCCCGCCTGCTTTAGAGGCAGGACGGTGAAGGAAAGCTGGACTATATATTTGGAGTATGACATAGGAAAATGGTCCACTCATCTTGTAGACAGCTTTTTGTACCGGCATTAACACTGACTGCTGATGTGTTGATACATAACCAGGTGTTGTGTCGAGTTTTCAAACCTTTGTGATTGTTTTCCGCCTCTTTTTAAGATGTAAATGAAGCACTGAAGAGTGTTATTCGTCTCGTATAAATAGCATCACCTAGCTCCGTAATTCCACTGTTATTTCCTGACAAGGTGATATCCAGTAATCATCGCCTCCCTGTGCTGTTGTTTCACTTAATGCTCACTGACAGCATCACAAAAATAGACTCTCAACCAGTTGCTCTTTTGTCGGTGAATGAGTCTCGTTGTCAAAGGGTTTGCCTCCCCGCGCGCACACACACACACACACACACACACACTCACACTTAAACACACACACACAAATACACCAATATTTTCAGACGACATTAAACTTTTCCCCCTTTTTTCTTAACTGAAATTAAATCTGAGCTGTTCAGGCACGAGAACATCAGCCTTTGTGTTGCGTGGCAGCCTGTTATGGATGGAGATGAGGATTTCTGATAGCTGAACACAAAAAAAGTGATAAATCAGAGGATAGAGACGGGCCGTATTCATGAGCCATGTAATCCTCTTATATCTCATGTCATTTTTTCAAAAGCAAACACATCTTTGCCATCAATACTTGTGTCTGCTTTGATAAAGCTACCTCTGCCAAGATCTGGGAACCTGCTGCAATGGATTAATAACCTATAAAATGAGACTAATATGCTGTCAGGATTGTCTTATTATTATTTTTTTACACAAAACAACAAAGAAACTTCTCACTGATACCACAACCGCTTCAAATTTCTCCCCTCAGAGGATTTAACGATATCACCAAACTCATTTGTCAAATTTCGTCCCCTTCTTTCCTCTTTCGTCAACAAAATTATACAATAACTTTCCCAATAATCCTCTTTATAAAACATAAAGTGTAAATCCACTCAGATATTCAGCCTCCATGTTTGCTCTGTGAAATGATAGAGCATTATGGCTCATATCTCCTTCTCGTCAGCAAAATCTAATTTATAGGGTTGGAATTAATAGTTTTTTTTAATTGGCAATTATACATTTTTATTATCATTTGATTCATCATTCAGTCCATTAAAGGTCAGAATATTGAAAAAAATCCTGAAGATGTAAAATGTCTGTACAAAAATATTCATGGTGTGATGATTTAAAAATCAGGGCTGTCAGCGTGAACACGTAAATCACAGAGAAGTTATTGTCCAAAACTCGCTGGTTCGTTTTTTTTAATTGCCTACACCAGACTTCAATTGTTGCTTTTAATGTCACTATTTTGAAAAATAACCAAATGCACCAACAAATGGAACATTTTACTGACTCAGCAGAAAAGTCAGTTTGAGCTTCATCCTTTGAGCGAAGCACGCAGGTGCAGCGAAACCGACCACGTCACAATAACACACATACAGGAGACGTCCTCAGATTGACATGTTTTGACTGATCAAACATACAATAGTTTCACACATAGACACACACACACACACACACACACACACACACACACACACACACACACACACACACACACACACACACACACACACACACACACACACACACACACGTATACATACACAAACAAACAAAGGCAGCCAGACTGGAACTCCTGAAAAGTGAAAATGCTGTTGCATTAACCAGGATCACTGCTCGTCTTTTCTGCATTGTAGCTGATCTGTATCTGACATTTTGCACATGCACTCCTGCAAACTTCTGTATGTGCACCACACACCTCGTCTTTAAAAAGGTAAATAAATAAACACTATAGCTCAGAGTCGTGATCTAAGACCACACACTGTGTAGATTTGTAACACTTATTTAAATATGAAACTGAAAGTCTCTGTTGTTTTGCAAAATTCAGTGTATTATTTAGTTTCCCAAATAAAGACATGGGAAAGAACTGCAGTCAATGATAAATATGAACTTTAAAACAGTTTTAAGACGCTAAATAATGGAACTTAAATATGCAGTTAGGAGTGTAATTAATTGCGACTTTCTTGATTAGAAAAATTAATTGTATGACAGCCTTATTAAAACAGTTAAAATCACAGATATAGGAAAATAATAGAGTGATGAATACATTTCACACACCTTAATTTTTTACCTCTCAGTCTGTCTGTTAATAGGACTCCTCCTTAACATTATCCACATTGAGTTACAGAGTGTGGCAAACAGACCTATCACCACCAGCCTTTAGCCTTTGCTTGTTAATTTTCCATTTTACACAGACACAGTTTAACCTTTATTTACTCGATTAAAACACTGACAAACCTTGTCGAGCTACAAGAGTCATCTGTGCATGTTTACATATGGGTAGTAGAGCTTTACGGACACTAACTAGAGACACAATTGAATTATTAACGTGTCATTTAACCGAGTTATTCTGGTGCTGACTAACGCAGGTGATGGTGTGTAATAATCATGTCAGTATAACCTGCTCATCTCTGAAAATCTTGGGTTTGAACGGTGGCTGACTCTTTCATTTGTGTGTAAATTTAATTCAGTATCATGTCGGTGCTGTTGTGACCCAATCACCCAGTGATTCCTATGAAAACATGAGGCAGATTTACCAAGACGCCGCGTCTCCAACTGTGGCTTTCTTCACTTTATTATTTGCCCTTTTGTGGTTTTGAAACATCAACAATTGGAGGATTTCAGCTGATACTTTCTGTTGGTTTCATTGTACTCTGTTAATAGTGTTCATGATTCTCCACATGTATGAGTGTCAAATCCTCAGAGTCGGTGGAAAAAAAGGGGCTTTAGCAGCCTGATAAAATGTGAAAACGTCTCTTGTCTTCACATAATGTGGCGAAGAGCAGAGACTCGAGCTTTTGGTGTTGAAAGCAGCCGAGACATCCAGCTGACACATATTTGAGAGCGGCCTAATTTCTTTCAGATTCATGATGAGCTAAGGAGCATTAGATCAGAGATGTGCAAACAGCAGAAATGGGAGAATTAGACTGTCGCTGCTGTCAGCCATTATCCACTGCGGTTGAATTGTCGGCGTTCTGATGCTAACATCCATTAGAGCAATTAGCCGCGCGCACAGGTGCCGCTGCGTTTCAGACCTTTCATTAAAAGGCTCAAAATATTCCTAATTTTCACAGCCTTCATGAGAAAAATGCGTATAACAAATGTAATATAAGCAGCAGGAGAGAGTTAAATAGAGCGTAAACTTAATTTCATGTTGGCACAATTCATTCGATTCATATGGGCTTAATAGTATTGTTCATTTCTCTGCATATTTAGGGGTGAAGTGTTCCTACCTGGTTATGTCTGGGGGGCATTAAGTCTGACTAATGAAATGACTCTATCCTCTGTGGCGTTTTAATCTATTCACTGGGAAAGTAATTGACAAGCCGGCAGTATGTGCATTAGGATAGCACCGGCACCAAAGGACAGCTGTCACTAAAGCAATTAAAATGACAAAGGTTAATTAATTCTCTCCAGTTTTTACCTGATATGAGACATTCACAATGAGTGAGTTTTCATTTCCGGAGGAGTAATGGTGTTTTGAGGAGAGTAATTTATTTGTGATTTAAAAAAAATAACACAGCAGCCATTGTCTGATACAGCCTTTAATATGTCAATACCTCACACAAAACTGTGCCCCAGGATAGCTTCAGACCCCCATCTGAAATGAATTCTGCAGCAGCACCGTGGTCTGAAATGACAAATGGTTGTTTTTTTTTTTCCTCCTCAGATAAGACACAGTTTTTTCTCTTCTGCTCAAAATAAAAAATGTGATTTGTTTATAAATGAAGCTTATAAGGATGTTTTACACTTTATACATCTGAAGGAACGTCTCTGAGAGGGGAAAAATGAAGCTCCGCAGCGGTCGGGGGTCAAGCAAAAGGAAAACCCAGTCACAAATAATTACTATGCCAACCACCTCTGACACCACGAGAGCAGAACCCAAGAACTTTCTAATCCACCTAAATGTCAAAGCTACGTTCGGCGCCCTCCCTGCGTGTGAATCTCCACAGGCTGCCAAAAGGCCAGTGGTTAGTCATCTGTTTACTCCTGCAGCTGCTGGGTGTCATTGGGACTCTGAAGGAGAAATCCCATGATTCTCTCTGCCATTTCTGACAGCTCCCGCCCAGACCACATTAATCAGGGATTGTGGGCGAGCTAGGGGATAGACGGCAAGCATGGATGGCTCCGGCCCAGGACAACTGAACCGAGGGAGGAGATCTGGGCCCAAAGATAACTTAGACGTCCAAACACTGCCGGTTGTAACGCTGCCGGTTCCATTCACAAGCGCTGAGATCGTTAGACGGACGCTTTCTCTTAACGTGTGAATAGGTTCTTAGAAATTAGCATAATTTAAAAGTGTTGTCTTTAAAGAGGAGGTAAAATAACCCACCGTCTTCGACTGGAGCAAATGAGCTCCAGGAAACAGACGCGCTGCAGAATTTTGGTTATTAGATGTTTGAGATTGGTTTGGATGTAATTCCTGAAAAAGCTATTTTCTTGACGTTTTAATTATAAAACTCCACTTTCCACATCCCCCATGTTTAATCACTTCATTAAGTTGTGTTGAAGGTACAATCAGGGAGCTGAAAGTTAACTCAAGATTGGTCTTATTGCCGGAAAAAAAGAAGAAAATATAAAAGTGGAAACCCCTGAATTCCCTCAAAAGGTTCAACAGGTGCTTTAATAAAGGTGGTAATACCCGACCAAACACTGAAGTTATTAATATTTCCAGATGCTTAAGATGTGAAATCAGTGAGTGAAGAACTTTAGATTTGAAACACAGATAATGAACGTTTTCATCTTCTGTCAAATGGTTTTCATAGATTTATTTGGCAACAAACTAAAAAAAAAACACTTACAATAAATCACTGCATGAAGTTCACATGATCACTGTGTTAGTTTTTTATTTACACTCCTCAGAGATGAAGAAAAGCTGAAGTTTTCTATGTAGCCACCAGGGGAGCAGAAGCTGTACGACCATGCTTACTTGATCTCTGCTAACTCCTGAGGGAAACATCTGTCTCTTTAGCTTCTGTCTGAGTCTGTCTACTGTTCGGTGGGTAATGTGCTGTAGAGTTATTGGAGGTTTGGGGTGTAAAAATGCTGTCGCAGCTGTGGGCAACAATGCCGATTAAAAAAACGGTGGAGATGCAGGAAAGAAAAACAAAACAATGAGCTTAAAGACGGTGAAACGCCTGTTTGTAGAGATAAAACAGCTGATTCACATTGACTCCTTATTGGACAGTCACAGGTTTTGCCGCCATCCTGACCCTTAAAGGTTATGAACCTCTTACACATTGAAACTCTGCAAACAAAGCCTTCCCATCAGTACACCTTTGCACCTACACATTACACCCTGTAATGATTATGCATCACATTGCGATGTAGGTATCAGACATGTTCGGGCTGTCAGATCAGCTCAGGGCCCTGCGCCTGTTGATGACATCAAACTACGGCTTGTCCACTTAGACAAACTACATTGCACTCCAGTTAATAAGTCTAATGTGCTCAGTTAAAAGCTCCTCGCGGTTTTCTTTATTTCCAAACTTTTCTAATTCACCTCGAACTTTTGTCTTCTTATAATACAGAGAATAACAATTTACTGGACTGTAATCTTTAGCTGTCTTTAACTGTATGTTAACTTCTCTAAATTAAAAAAAGAGGTACTCAGGATCTCCATTTATTAATAGATAGTTTTGCTTTGATTTCACATTTCCATTTGGCAACCTCAAGTCTCTTTTGATGAGTAGTGATTCATTTCATCGTAAAATTCGTCCTTGTTTTGTCCGAAGAACAACAATCCCATAAAACCTAATCCTGACAAAACTGCCTCTATAATTTGTCAGGAAATTTGTCACACTCTTCTGCGTCATCCAACCAACTTCCAGCCAATCATGTTGCGTGATGTCATCAACATGCGCAGCGCTTCAAGCACATCTGGCAGCCCAAGCACGTTACCTACACCGGCATTGCATTAGTACAAGACTCAGCTCCCCCTACACACACACACACACACACACTCAGATATGCACACACACACACAGCTGTTCTGCCCTGCTAGCTCCAACGCTACAAATGACCACGTCTCCCCCCTTTACGCCTCTACAACAACCTCTGAGAGAGCATCATGGGGTATAAACTTCGCAAACTTAAAATAGCAGTATGTAGGGGCCAAAGTACCAGATCTGTGGTCAAGACGTGTCTGTAGAAGGTCACCAAAGATCTCTGTCTGCTCTGAGGTTGTACAAATTAGATTTGTGTATATTTATGAAAATCACGATAACACTCTTGTACAAAAACAACAACAACAAAAACTCTGAGGGCCCTGGTGGTCTCAGGCTCTTTATCTAACAGCTGAAGTCTCTCAGGAGAAAACCACAGCCCGCTCCTTTAACAGTAAGCTGTACTGAAGACAGATTCTGACCACGCTCTCCTTTTTATAATTACCAGAGTCAATATTTGACCCTTTTTCCCACTAACGCATTTCTTCCAAAGTTCTGACACAAAAATGGCAGGAGAAAATTCACTTTGTTCCAGATTTGCCTCCGACCAAAAAAACACCGTCATGTCAGATCTGCCAACACAGTTATCACTTCTCCCCGCTGCTAATGAACTGTTAGTGCTGCTGTTCTCTTTTATTAACCAGGTAACAGGAATTTTTCGGGAAGCTGAGCCTGAAGCAGTGAGTAAACATTTGGTTCGTGCGTTTCCTGTGGCTTTGAAAAATAATATTGTTATATAAGGGATCGTGTTTAGTGAGCGGGTGTTTGAGTTGAATATGAACCCAGACGGGGTGAGACGAGAAAAATAGTTCCTCAGTTTTTATGGTTGGTATCATATGAAAACATCAAAAGTCCAATTCAAGTTAAACTCAGTATTTGCAATCTCCTTTACTCTAACACAGCAAAAACTCAACAATGAGCAAGTTTTTTTGACTCTTTTCAAATAATAAAAAAAAAGATTAAACTTAATATTTGCTGTACATGCTCCTAACCAGTCCAGATATACAGTCCATCTTATTTTAAGGTATTAAAAGCAAAAAATAAGACAGAAATATATAGTTGTTCAGTCAATTGAAATTAAAATACTTTCATAATTGAACAAATTTAACAATCACGTTTTCTTAATTTAGCTATCAGATTCATTTTTATGTAGTTTCTCTCACATAGAACTGAAAACTTGTGTTTTTGGATATACAAGTTTTGGGATCTTGATAATAATTGACAGATCCTGAAACCAGATTTCTATCTGGACTTGTAAAGCTAAATTAGACTTAACACTTTTGATGTAGTTTTGATGTTTTGTGGCGTATAATTCAGATTAAACTCAACATTTTGAGACACGGTAAAGTCACAATATGACTATTTTTTCTTTTGACAGTTTTAAATATAAGCAGATATACAGCAGCGCCTGTTTAAAGTCTTTCCTGTTGGCATTTTTGTGTTGCAGTTTGTGGTTTCTTTGTGCCTGTTTTCTTTAATTTGGTAGATGTCCCTCATACTTATCATCTTATGAGCTCTTACCACCTCTTACCTGCACACTGTCAGCACTGTGTCTACTGACAATTAATCATTTATTAATCTCAAATATGAAGTTTTCTGCTCTTTAAATAAATTGAAAGTAAGAGTAAAAAAAACACTTTATAAACTAGCATTTTTTCTACATTGTTAACAGCCTGAGGTGAAATCATGGACTTTATAGATGTGCTGGACTCTTCTCTGTGGAACAGTTTGATATGATGATATCAGGTCATCCCTGGCTTTACTATTTTTATTAAAATTGTTTTGGGGTTTTGACAAATCAGGATCAAGTACTATCAAGGACGGCTGTGTGACCTTTTTTTTTTTGGAGGGACCATGCCAACTCAGGGATACATAAAATACACATCATTAATAAAGTTGGTCATCTTTGCTCTTAAAAACAAACAACACAACAAGTGACACCTTCATGAGATATCTGTTGTTGATGTTAAACCGTCGACGTGTGCAGCTTCCAGTTAGATTTGTAAATACTTGTGTAATTTATAAGGTCACTGTTGATTTGGCCTTAATCAGTACACAGCATAATACGCAGAATTTCCCCTCAGACGACATCAGTCAGGGAACGGCTCCATCTCTCAGCAGCTCTCACACCAAACACTTCTGTGCCAGACTGTTTACACTTGTAAGATTACGTGCATAATGAGGCTGCATTGTCTCGGCAGAGAGCTGCTTTAATTCTTTGAAGCTGAACAAACTGTCCCTGGCACATTTGGGAAGGGGTGGAGAGATATCAAAGTCACTTTATTGAGATGAAAGAACTGGCCTAAACAGCAATCTGAGACATTAGTCATTCCTTCTTCTCGCTGACAGAAACATGCTCTCAATTTACGAGTCAGGTGCTTCCAGTGATTTCTGCCAGCCTTGTTCCTCCACATCATAAATTCCTCTTTATGCTCACTCATGCCACAGGCAGACCCCTATTCTCTGGCCTGCCTTGTCACAAAAAACACCCCATGTTGGCATATTGGATGTCGTCCAGGCTGCCATTAGCAGTTACTGTGCCGCGTATACCATCCCGAACTGCACTGAATTTAAATAGACAGCAGTGATTGCGCCCCTAGGTGCACATTTGTGCGTTTTTTTTACAGGTTTTCTATCAGCACTTTAATTCAGTCTTTGTATGGTGTTGACTCTGCAGAGCTCCCACTTACACTGTGTTCATTTCCTCTAAATGCTTCACACGCAGCCACTGGCTCCCAATTTGTGTAATGAAGGTTTAATAGCCAATTGGAACATCCAATATCATTAACAGCCAGAGTTAGTCTCATCCAGGATTTTTATTTTTTATTTCTTCTGATAACCAGAGGTGCGAACGCTTCATAGGTGGAACGTGTGATTAGCACCTGCTGTTTAATGTATGTCCTGTCTTTCCAGGAGCAGGAATTCACTTTTTACAACATCTCACATCCGAACGAGCTGTTTGTTCTCGTCGGTCTTTGATGCATGAACTTTAGAAAATGATCCTCTCCATGGCTTCCTTTTTTCTGCTTGTTCAAATATCTATTTTTTAAACACTTTGAACTTCTTTTGACCTTGTTTTGTTTCTCATTATCAAGCACTTTCTCTGTGTAAATGATTATACCAGCGTTATTTTTGGATACTGCGGGGGCACTGTGGCTCTGACACGTCTTACTACAGGCTGCTTGTCACGGGAGTGATGCAGGGGTTGAAAGTTTATGTGCTGAACTTGTAAGTCTTAAATACAAGCGCTGAAATGGAAATGCAGGACTGAAAAAACAGCAGAATTAAAGCACAGTCAGGTACGTTTGATTTTTTTTAAAGGAGCAGTTCAGTCTCTCTGTCATCTTGCGTCTCTTTTGCAAGTTTTATTTATTTTTTGAAACATTTACTCGCTCGTGTTTGACGCGATGAGAACCCTCCATCGGCGCTGATTGCTTCACGTCACCTATGGCCTTAAAGCTGCGAACACACGACACACAGAATTTAAACAGAAGGACCTTTTTTTTCTTCACCTCCTGGGGCTTGACGGAGATTATTTCTGACAGCTGTGATAACACAAAAATATAGATGGACGTTATTTGTTCAGTTGTTTACCACATTCGGTTCATGCACGGACATGGACGAGGATCCGACGACGACGACGACATCAGGGAGGTATACTCACTCGAACAATCACACTGCAGAAAACAACACCACTCAAAATATGTTTGCTTTTCCCATTATGCCCTCTAATGCAAACTGACAGATTCTTCATATTTGCGTTGACATTTACGTGTTTGCGGTGATTACTGGAGACTGATTGGAAAAGACAGAAAGCATGATTGAGACGGAAACACACTATCAACGTAAACAACTAAATTAGCGAGAGAAAACATTAATAAAACTGTTTTCTGGTCTTTGTGTAGAATCCATAATATTTACATAAATACAATCAGCATATTTTTACGGTTGGCTTGAGAATTTCCTTTCGATGTAAGCAGGCAGGCAGCTATGCATATAATATGAAGGTTGCGGGCCTATAATGCTTCCCTAAATGCGCTCATAATGACCTCAGGGTTGGTCTGTTCATTGGAGCAACGTCAGTCTTGCGATCAGGATGTTAGCTGTAAAAATGCCTGTCAACATCTCAAGTTTGAAGTGTCCGGACTCCGATTTCACTCAAATAATCTGACACCGATCTGGACCCGGAAGCTTGTCTCTGCGTCTTTTTTCCCCCCACTTCCTCGTCTGGTCACGTGATCACCCGGTGGGGAGGTAAGGGGTGTCGCTGTGGTAGTTGTAGTCTGGACAAACCTTCTGCACCAGCTTGTAGTCAGTGCTGTAGAAGGTGATGAAGATGCAGATGACTTTGAAGGGCTTGGAGCACAGCCAGGACACGTGGCTCTGCGTCTGCTCCTGTGGGCAGCTCTGCGACGGATCGTGGGCACACAGCGAATTCCTGGTGCCCTTCTCCACCTTCTCGTACTCCACCCTGCAGTTGAACAGCTTGGTTTCCTTCGTCTCGAGAGCCGTCTGCTGCTGCTGGTGGTGATGGTGGTGGAACTGCTGGTGCGGCTGGTGGACCTGGAACTCCACGGCTTTTGTCGGCGGCACAAGGCCCACAGAGACGTTGCCTTGTCCGGTGGAGTTGTGGCGGAAGTAGACGCTGAAGGTCCCATTGCCATGATCCACGATTTTCCCGGTAATGAGGAGGTTGAGCTTCACCGTCTTGATGTTGGAGTGGAAGTCACCCCAGCCGAACATCTTTTTGAACTTCCCAGTCTTGACAATGGGTCTCCGCTTTGTCCTGGATCGAGGGTCTCGAGGGTTTGAGGCGTTGTAAAGCCAGTTCCACTGCTCTCGTTTAGAGTACGTGTCTGCATCGTCGTCGTAGTTCAGGTCCAGGGAGGTGAAGTTTTCCTTCTCATAGAGGGTCTGGGACAGCAGGCGGCTGATGGAAAAGGCCTTGCTGCTTTCGGTCCAGTAAGTCTTCACTTTGGATTTGGAGCTCTCTCTCAACGCTGAACTTTCTGAACTTCGTGAGTCAGCACTGGTAACCTGAAAGCACAAACCAAATATCAACCATGGGGATCATATCTTTGTTAAGGTTGCACAAAACATCTCTGAAATAACCTCATTTTAAAAATGCACAAGATTTACTTTAATAGGATCAGAAACTGCATTAAAACAGTGATGGGACTGAGGTGACCAGACATCCCAATTTGACTGGGACTTTCACATTTTTAAGGTCTGAGTTAAGACCAGTAGATATGAAAAATTAAAAAGTCCAGATTTTTTTGGACTCCTCCAGGCTCCCCCCACAAACAAGTGGCTGCTCAAAGAGAGTGGGTGAACCCTATATGTACTGTTGATAAAGTTAGGTGCTGTTCTGAGCATTATTTATGGTTACGAGTGCCTTTTTGGTTGAGGCGTGCACGTGTGCTGTGCATTGCTATTGTACAGTCGTTACCAAAGTTGGTATAACAAGAGATGCAAGCAGGCGGCAACATTCATCTCTCAAGGGGGTGTCTAACTCAGTAAAACGGTGTGTCTGACCCATTTTACGCTGGAATATCCCTTTAAATATGATTTTTTTTTACACTTAATATAGTATGACATTTTTTCATGCTATAATATGATCTCTTTATCATACAATACCATGATATTTTTTATCATACTATACTATAATTTTTTTAAATCATTCCTTAAAGGGATTTTTTGTCATCCTATATTATGACATTTCTACCATACTACAACAAGATATTTTTGTCATATTTTACTATGATTTTTTTAATAATACTTTACTGTCATTTTAATCGAAATATACTGACATTTTTATCTTACTATACTTTGATATTTTTATCACACTTAACTTTTTTTATCATACTATACTTGGGGTCGGCAACCTTAAACACTCAAAGAGCCACTTGGACCAGTTTCCCACAGAAAAGAAAACACAGGGAGCCATAAAACCTCTTTGACATCTAAAATGAAGATAACATTGTATATATCTTTTTTTTACCTTTATACAAAGTATATAAAAAACTGTAGCGAGTTGCATTTATAAAATAAATGAACTATTTCGGCGAGTGTCTGTCTTCTTCTGTAGTTAAACCGCAAAATATCAAAATCTACCCGGATACAGCAATGCTGCTTTTTGATTGGCTGTTCAGTAGATCTACTTTATTTGATTGGCTTGTGCATGGCACGCAGCTTCTGAACTCTCAGAGGAACTCAGTTGATTTCCCCCTGTTCCATAGTTAAAGAAGTGCAACTTGGTGGACATCACCGTGTTCATTTAAATGCGTGAGAAATACAATGTGTGGTGTGTGAGCGTGTGAACGAGTGGGAATGCGTGTGTCATACGCTGAATGCGTGAAACTTGAGAGCCCTGTGCTCACGCATCATCGATGTACTCCCGAGCCATGCAAAATGGTCTTTGCAAATGTTGCACTGAACAGTCTTGGTGAAGTTTTCCCACACCACTGATGTTTTAGGTCGGGATTGGGGTTGGGTTGTGTCCATGTTTTTCTCAGCCGCTGCCTCGGCCATGGCTGTTTCTTTTCTGTGCGTCCTGCTGATGTTTACACGCCGGTGTCCATGGATGGACGAATCGATTACAGAATTTGTTGGCAACGGATTTTTTCGTCACGACGAATCTACTTAATCGATTCGTTGTTGCAGCCTTAATAGTTTATTTAATGTTACAAGAGCATTATAATCTTTGAATTTAGAATTACAAATAATAATAATAATAATAATAATAAAATAAAATAAAATGCAATTAAGTATTTATTATTTATTTTCCAAATCCATTGGGAGCCGCAGCTTAGGGAAGAAAGAGCCGCATGCGGCTCCAGAGCCTATCATATTTTACCATAACATTTTTGCAATACTACACTATAATATTTTTTTCATACTCTGCTATGATTATTAATTATACTATACAATGACATTTTTATCGAATATAACAACAACATTTTTATCTTACTATACTGTGATATTTTGATCATACTTTACTATGGCATTTTTATCTTACTATACTTTGGTATTTTTATCATACTTTACCATTATTTTTATCACACTATTCTATAATGTATTTTATCATAATATACTTTAATATTTTTTATCAGGTGCTATGGTGGTTCAGCAGGTAGGGCATCTGCTTTACAGCAAGAAGATCCCGGTTCGATCCCTGGGCAGTCCACGTCATGTCTGTGTGGAGTGTGCTTGTTCTTTCAGTGCATGTGATATTTGTATCATCTTCTACTATGATGTTTTATCATACTATACTATGACATTTTTATCAAACTATACTATGATTTTTTTAAATTATATTTTACTATGATTTTTTTTTTCAACATACTATACTATGAGATTTTTATCATGCTATGCAATGATGCACAGCACTGTGGCGCAACAGGTAGCACTCATGTCTCGCAACGTGAAGGTCACTGGTTCAATTCCCGGGTTGGGCAAGACCTTCAGTGTAGAGTTTGCATGTTCATCCAATGCACGCATGGGACCTATACCGGCATTCTGGCTTCCTTTTATGAAGAAAAAATATGCTTATTAGGAAAATTAATGACTCATTTTGATCATACTTTACTATGATTTTTTAAACATATTTTGCTGTGATTTCTTTTTATCATACTATACTATGATTTTTTATCATACTTTACTATGAAATTTTCATCATAGTATATGATATTAAAGTGATACTTTACAAAAATATTTTTTCATACTAAAATTTTAGTTTTACTATACTGAAACATTTTTTGACATACACTATATAACATTTTTCAACATACTATGACTTTTTTTCATACCAATTTTTAAAATTTTATCATACTACACTATGACATTTTCATTATACTATACTATATAAACTGGATTAATTCAAATACTATACTATGACATTTTTTCATGCCAATGTTTGAAATTTTTATATCACACTATACTATGACTTTTTATTTCATAGCAACAATAGACTTATTTTTTTATCATACTATACTATGACATTTTTTTCATAGCAAAAATGGACTTTTTTTTATCATACTATACTATGACATTTTCATCAAACAAACAAGGAATGTTGTTTTTCCAAAATGCTTATTTTTTTAACATACTGTCATGCTATACTATGACTTTTTTTTTTACTATACTATAAAAATTAGTAAATTTGAAATTTTATCATACTATACTATGACATTTTTTTCACGACCAAAATTTTGACATTTTTATCATACTATACTATGACATTTTTATTTACACTTAAATTTGATTTTTTTTATCATACTATACTATGACATTTTTTTAATACTTTACTTTTTTTTTCACTACTAAAATTCCAAATTTTTTATCTTACTATACTATGGCATTTTTTAACATACTATGCTATGACTTTTTTTTTTTTCATGCCAATGTTTGAAATTTTTTGTCATACTATACTATGACATTTTTATACAATATTTTTTTATTTATTTACATAATATACTATGACAATTTTTCAGACCAAAATTTGAATTTTTTCATACTAAACTATGACATTTTCATCAAACAAACAAGGAATGTTGTTTTTCCAAAATGCTTATTTTTTTAACATACTGTCATGCTATACTATGACTTTTTTTTTTACTATACTATAAAAATTAGTAATTTTGAAATTTTTATCATACTATACTATGACATTTTTTTCATAGCAACAATGGACTTATTTTTTTATCATACTATACTATGACATTTTTTTTTATAGCAACAATGGACTTTTTTTATCATACTATACTATGACATTTTCATCAAACAAACAAGGAATGTTGTTTTTCCAAAATGCTTATTTTTTTAACATACTGTCATGCTATACTATGACTTTTTTTTTACTATACTATAAAAATTAGTAAATTTGAAATTTTATAATACTATACTATGACATTTTTTTCACGACCAAAATTTTGACATTTTTATCATACTATACTATGACAATTTTTTGACACTAAAATTTGATTTTTTTTATCATACTATACTATGGCATTTTTTAACATACTATACTATGACATTTTTTCTTTCATGCCAATGTTTGAAATTTTTTGTCATACTATACGATTACATTTTTATACTATACTTTTTGATTTATTTACATAATATACTATGACATTTTTTCAGACCAAAATTTGAATTTTTATATCATACTAAACTATGACATTTTAATCAAACAAACAAGGAATGTTGTTTTTCCAAAATGCTTATTTTTTTAACATACTGTCATGCTATACTATGACTTTTTTTTACTATACTATGAAAATTAGTAATTTTGAAATTTTTATCATACTATACTATGACATTTTTTTCACGACCAAAATTTTGACATTTTTATCATACCATACTATGACATTTTTTAACAAACTATACTATGACATTTTTTTTTTCATGCCAATGTTTGAAATTTTTGGTCATACTATACTATGACATTTTTATACTATACTTTTTGATTTATTTACATATTATACTATGACATTTTTTCAAACCGAAATTTGAATTTTTATATCATACTATACTATGACATTTTTTTCATAGCAACAATGGACTTATTTTTTTATCATACTATACTATGACATTTTTTTTTATAGCAACAATGGACTTTTTTTATCATACTATACTATGACATTTTCATCAAACAAACAAGGAATGTTGTTTTTCCAAAATGCTTATTTTTTTAACATACTGTCATGCTATACTATGACTTTTTTTTTACTATACTATAAAAATTAGTAAATTTGAAATTTTATCATACTATACTATGACATTTTTTTCACGACCAAAATTTTGACATTTTTATCATACTATACTATGACATTTTTATTTCCACTTAAATTTGATTTTTTTTATCATACTATACTATGACATTTTTTTAATACTTTACTTTTTTTTTCACTACTAAAATTCCAAATTTTTTATCCTACTATACTATGGCATTTTTTAACATACTATGCTATGACTTTTTTTTTTTCATGCCAATGTTTGAAATTTTTTGTCATACTATACTATGACATTTTTATACAATATTTTTTTATTTATTTACATAATATACTATGACAATTTTTCAGACCAAAATTTGAATTTTTTCATACTAAACTATGACATTTTCATCAAACAAACAAGGAATGTTGTTTTTCCAAAATGCTTATTTTTTTAACATACTGTCATGCTATACTATGACTTTTTTTTTTACTATACTATAAAAATTAGTAATTTTGAAATTTTTATCATACTATACTATGACATTTTTTTCACGACCAAAATTTTGACATTTTTATCATACCATACTATGACATTTTTTAACAAACTATACTATGACATTTTTTTTTTCATGCCAATGTTTGAAATTTTTGGTCATACTATACTATGACATTTTTATACTATACTTTTTGATTTATTTACATATTATACTATGACATTTTTTCAAACCGAAATTTGAATTTTTATATCATACTATACTATGACATTTTTTTCATAGCAACAATGGACTTATTTTTTTATCATACTATACTATGACATTTTTTTTTATAGCAACAATGGACTTTTTTTATCATACTATACTATGACATTTTCATCAAACAAACAAGGAATGTTGTTTTTCCAAAATGCTTAATTTTTTTACATAATGTCATGCTATACTATGGCTTTTTTTACTATACTATGAACATTTTTTCACACTAAAATTTGAAATTTTTATCATACTATACTATGACATTTTTTTTCACGACTAAAATTTTGACATTTTTATCATACCATACTATGACATTTTTTAACATACTATACTATGACATTTTTTTTTTCATGCCAATGTTTGAAATTTTTTGTCATACTATACTATGACATTTTTATACTATACTTTTGGATTTATTTACATATTATACTATGACATTTTTTCAAACCAAAATTTGAATTTTTATATCATACTATACTATGACATTTTTTTCATAGCAACAATGGACTTATTTTTTATCATACTATACTATGACATTTTTTTTTATAGCAACAATGGACTTTTTTTTATCATACTAAACTATGACATTTTCATCAAACAAACAAGGAATGTTTTTTTTCCAAAATGCTTATTTTTTTTACATACTGTCATGCTATACTATGACTTTTTTTACTATACTATGAACATTTTTTCACACTAAAATTTGAAATTTTTATCATACTATACTATGACATTTTTTTTCACGACCAAAATTTTGACATTTTTATCATACTATACTATGACATTTTTTAACATACTATACTATGACTTTTTTTTTTTCATACCAATGTTTGAAATTTTTTGTCATACTATACTATGACATTTTTATACTATACTTTTGGATTTATTTACATAATATACTATGACATTTTTTCATACCATTTTTTTTTATCATACAATACTGACCTATTTTTAACATACTTTACTATGACATCTTTTTTCATACCAAAATTTAAAATTCTGATCATACTGTACTATGACATTTTTTTGATTCCAAGAATTTGAATTTTTTTGTCATGCTATACTAAGGCATGTTTTAACATTGTGAACTGTTTTTTTTTTTTACCAACATCGGAATTTCTTATCATAATATACTATGACATTTTTATCAAACAAACAAGGATTTTTTTTTCCAAAATGCTTATTTTTTTACATACTATACTATGACATTTTTAACCTACTATACTATGACATTTTGTTTTCATACCAAAATTTGAAAATTTTATCATACTATACTATGACAATTTTTTGACACTGAAATTTGAATTTTTTTATCATACTATACTGACATTTTTTCATACCAAAATATATATTTTTTTATCATATGATACTATGACTTGTTTTAAACATACTATACTATGACATGTTTTTTCATACCAAAATCTGAAATTTTTTATCAAAGTATACTATGACATTTTACATAATTCTTTACTATGACAGTATTTAACATACTATACTATGAGAGTTTTTGACACTGAAATTTGAAAATTTTTAAACCAAAAAATTTTTTTTATCATACTGTAATACGCAACTTATATCATACCATACTATGAAATCTTTATCAAACTGTAATTTTACATTTTTATCTTTCTATACAATGACATTTTTAATCATACAATACTATGACATTTTTATCATACTTTACTGATATTTTTATTAATTCATACTTAGACATTTTTTATTATACAACTCTATGACATGTTTATCATATGATACTATGCCATTTTCATAACGCTTTACTACATAATGCCCCTATATATATATATATATATATGAAAAAAATATATATATATACCCTTCATTTCTTATGCTCGGGGAGACCCTTAGTGCACCCTCTATATGCTCGGGGAGTTTCCTCTATAACTTACCGTAAACCTTAACTGAGAATCAAACATCCCTTCTGTACAGAGAATCAATGTTCAAAAACTCCTCTGGGAGCACTCGTTCACCACCTCCAGAGTGAAGTTCTCATTCATGAGTCGCAGACGCAGCCATTCAGTTCCTCGTTCATCAAAATACAAACATATTCAATGACCTCTTTTTGGCATGCTCAAAACGTTCGTGGCTTGATTTGAATTTCTTACAAATAGGATAAAGATGATTTGAATTATAAAGGGAAAAAACATCTGAAAAGTCTAAATAATGTGAAATCTTTTTGACAGAAATTGGAGACCTGAATCCAAAGAAACCTTCAAGATGTCTGAAAATGTGAGATTTCTCTGTCAGTGTTCGTAGACTGAACTCCTACCTTGATTGCCAGAGATCAGCTCTCAAATTGGGTTATTTTGGACCTTTTTTGCCTTTATTTGATTGGACAGTTTGAGAGAGGGAAAGAGAGGGGTGTGATGTGCATCTGCACTGCCATACTAACCAGGAATAAATCCCAGGACCAGTGTCATGAGGACTGTAGCCTCTGTGCATGGGATGCCTGGTCCAAACCTGCACCCTTCAACATAGCCATTTATTTTTCAGGCTGAGAAGTGAGTTCACTCTTGGTGAAGGACAGCTGACTGGATTAATGTGAGCTTTTCTCATTGGTAGTATTGGAGAGTGGTCCAACGTCGAAGTCCTGCTGGGTATTGGCATTGGGTAGATGCATGCACATAATAAATGCTTCTTCTTAGACTCACCCTGGACTAACCCTAGACTGTGTAAATAGTGGTTTCTGAAATGCAAATACAAAGCCTTAAGACATATTGGTTTTGGGATCCCACGGTGATCATTTTTGGACAAAAAAAACCACCAAATATCAAGATATAATCACAACCTAGTGCCAGGTCGTGCCACCCTACCAGGACAAAGATAAAAGACGAGATGTGACTTCCTTCACTCTGCACTTTGTTGATTCAGTACAAGCTGGATTTGCACCTCAGCTGTTACTGAAACCTGGGACTGTTCCAAGCTAATGCAACAATTGAGGATGTGAAGAGCCAAGTGGGTGCCAACTAAGGCTGCACGATATTGGAAAAAAATAATATTGCGATTTTTTCAACCCTGCGATATATATTGCGATATTAAAAATACAGTATTTTCACCAGATGACCTGAATAGCACTTAATGTTATGCTGCACTGCTGAAATCTTGAGGACAGTTAATCTGCTCTGATCTTACCTCTTTTTGTGAATGTTAGTAGAACGGCTTCTGTCTGTCTCAGAGATATTTTTAGCTTTTATTGTGCTGGGACGTTATTGTGGCGACAGATGAACACAGAAGACGTGTTTTGGTCGACATCATCCTTCTTTTAACCGAAATAATTCCAGATAACTGACTTTCCTTTTCTTTTTGGCAACAAATCTTCATTTTCGGTGGTTTTCGCTTGTTCGTTGTTCATTTTGCGATCGTTGTTGTTGTTGTTAGCGGTGTTGTGCCGAGAAACGCATGTCCTCCGAGAATTGCATGCACCTCGCAAAACGCGCACTGCTTATAGTAGAGTGGTCCACGGAAATGTACAATTTAAAACCCATACAGTTCTTATTTGTTGGGCTTAACAGTCAGTAAAGTTCCGAAAGTAATTCTCAGCGGACACACGTCTCCCTCCATGTGCAGAACATGTGCAGGGGTGGGTTTTCTCCTCCCTGATTTTGATTGACAGCTGGCAGGGCAGTCTGATTGGCAACTGAGAAGTGAGTCTGATTGGCAACTGAGTTAAGGACGAAGGCGATTGGTGGATCGCTGCACAGCACATGCAGAGTCACATGGAGTGTATCTCAGTCGGTTACCCTTGAAATTAAATGAGTTCATTCACCTCCAATATCGCAGGCTCTGTGATGTGACTATCGCACACACGTACATCGCGATGACGATAGTCAAACGATATATCGTTCAGGCCTAGTGCCAACCATGCGCCCCAGGCACTCTTCGTAAAGATATAACATTCAGGTTGTTTCATGGCTATAAAGCTGTGTAAAAAGAAACACCTACAAGCTGAAAAAGTAATGACAGATGAAAGGCACCAAATGAAGGTTTTAACAGACCCCAGTAAAAGGTTTTTTTAACTGCAATAACATGATAGAAGGGGCAAATGAGTAAGGTCTCTGGAGCAAAGAGAGCTTGTGGAACGTGGTGGACTCTCTGAGGTGGACCACACTCACTGAATAACTTCAAATAATCAGTTTTCTTGACACTTTCGTCCACTGCAATCTTTCTAAGGAGAAGCCATCAATAATCCTGACTTCTACATGACGGACACTGACCTGCTAACAAGCGAAGTAAAAAAATCTGCACTTTGATGAAACAGTTTCTCTTTCAAAGGAGTGCAAGCCCAGATTTCTCTGATGAATAGCTTAAGTCACCCACAAATATCCACGGATCACCCAACAAGACCATTCCCCAAACCTTGGGATCATTTTCCTTCAAATATGGACCTTTTAATTTGGGGACTAATTGAGATTTTTTGGAGCCAGACTCTAATAAACACTCTGTGAACTTGCATATCTGCATTATCCCCATTTTTCAACACCATCCCAACATCCTACTAATCAAAAATAACCTAAGAGGAGGAGAGGTCGATTAATACAGAGGATTTATCCCCGTGCACGGCTGTCTGCACCTTTAACAAACAGTGTTAACACTGTGACCGACTCTTACAGTGTGAAACATCTTGTGCAGAGAGTCTTAATCAAGATTAAGGGTATTCCTGCCATACATCGAGATGAATGAAGCGCTTCTCGGCTGCAGACGTGATGCAACAGCAGACTATTACCTGCTGAATGTGGCCTGAATGGATGATTGATGATTCATTTTGTGTCTCTCCTCTAACAATCACATAGATGAGGGAGCTGAGACTCCCCGTGCACCCTACAGAGGCCGCTGACAGTGACGTCCAAACCCCGGCCCTGGAACGTGACAGCAGATCTATCTGTTCGAAGCGTTTACATTTTGTACCTTCACCTCTCGATCAATACTCTGAAAATAAGGTCCTCTCTCATTCAGAAAGTTCCCTGAATGACATTGCGGAGCTGAAACCCGGAGAGCGTGTGCAGCCCCAACTGTTTGAACTGTTTCAGGAGTTGTGATCTCTCTCTGACGCATGCGTTCATTTTATGAACTCCAGAGTGAAGGACTTTGAAAAGATAGCCCCCAGTTGTTTTGGAGAGGCTTCGATGATGAACGACCTGATGCGGATGAACCGTTTGTGGCATTGTGGAGACTTTGGCTGAGCGGCTGCTATATCTTTCTCGCTCTCTGGGATCGAGAAACATAGCCTGAGTGTTTTTTTTAATGCAACATGATACGCAGAGTCAAATCAAAGCCTCTCACATGTGGAGGAGCCAAATCTTTGCAGTCAGTCGAAGAGAGAGAAAAAAAAAGAAAGCAGACTGTTGCAGCGATGAGGTGAAGAGGAATATGAATTTATGCCGTTCCCCTGCGCAGTGGGGCAGTTAAACTGTATTAATGAACTCCTCCCTTTGTCTTCCATTGCTGGAAACAAAAGTCTGTCATGTTGCCCCGCTGCTGATGTATAGTCAAAAGATAAAGTGGGGCTGAGGATGAAGGAGGCTTCCTGTGCAGGATTTATTGGCACCATTATAGTCAAACATAAAGCTCCTTAGGATGTAAAAGTAGCAGTGAAGCCGTTTCTTATAGACTGTCGGCCAGGCAGCCATAAAGAGCATGATGATATTACAGTCCACTCTTTATTCTTTGCTTTACTAATGTTTAGGGTGTTGGTTGTTTATTTTCCCCTTAAAAAGGTGCAAATAAAAGTGTCTTGTAGGTTAATACGGCGGCTATTTCACAACATGGAGAGGGTCGTCTCTGATAAATGCTACGCTGCCTGTAGACAAACCCCTTTTTTTCCACCCTGTACAGTTTGGTTTCAGATCGAATCATTCCACAGAGTCAGCTGCTTCTTCACTGTTAGAATGAAGACTATGAAACGCTGCAGTGTTCCTCTGCACTGTAAATAACGGCATTTGACACTCAAAATGTTCTATTTCAATTCTCCGAACAATCTCTGTCGTGACTTGATTCATATTCAAAAGCTTATAAATACTACTGTGATCGATTAAATGAAGTCTGCAGCAGGAGACCAACAAGGTGCCGTCTCGGGGCCCATCCTATTCAGATTGTATCCTAATGACTCGCCATTATAGGTCTCCATGCTACTTATGTGTTAAATAAAACCTGTAGCAGATATGTTAACGAAAATGTTAGTTTCTTTCTAGCTTGATTTTAGGTAGATACTAATTCTGATATACTAATGAACGTGCTCTAATTTACAATACAAATTTACAAATGACATGTAACAGGATATAATGTAATGTAGATTAATTAGGGTCCATGAAATATCCGTCCATTCAATTATTCCATTAAATCTAGTAAACTAAAATCGAAAAAATGAGTCAATATTTTGTTTATTTGTTTTTCTATAAAACCAAAAAATAAAAGATTAGTGTTTGTTTTCGTATTTTTAGTTCAAAACAGAATATATAATAGAGATGGAAACGAAAACAAAATAGTAAATCTACTTTTCGTTAGTCAACAACGTGGACCAAAAACTCCAGACCAGAGCGGTAGAGAAAGGCTAACCTGTTGTCATGGAGACGGACGCATCCTACGTATTATTCAAAGACGCCAGGAGGGTCACGCTGAAGGAGGAAGATATGACTGTAGAAAAAATTACAACCAGAGCTCTGTTACAACCTAAGATTTTGGCGCTCGAACCGCTCTGTTGTGTCTTTCACCATGGTAACTGTTGCTCAGGATCATGGGAAGGCCAATGTAGCCTCTATGCACGTATGCTCAAAACAGGTGCACTCAAAATCACTAACTGTAAATAAGATTTATTATTTGTTTTCGTTTCCTTCTCGATTTTATATCCTGTTTTAAACTGAAAATATGAAAACAAACACTAAATTTTTATTTTTTGGTTAAAAAGAAAAAAACAAACAAACAAAATATTGACTCGTTTTTTGTTTACTAGATTGAATGTAATAATTGAATGGACGGATAATACACGGACCAAACTGGACAATTTAAATTGGAAATACAATTGCATCAAAACTTCATTTAAATAATAGCAACACGCCAACATATGCCAAGGATGAAACTTTCCAAAGCTGAAATATAAAGTAGCTGAAGAACACAGACACTATAAGGAAAGATGGACGTTGCTGTATTTTTGGTGGAAGCGCTTCCTGTCGGCATTTTGAGTCACTGTTACAGATTCCTGTACACACAGAGAGCTGAATGTAGAAATGTCTCAGACTGTTCACCTTGTTTACCATAACATACAGTTTATTGTGAATTATGTCAAATAAGCATTAAAAGGTTTGATCATAACTCTACACTGAATAGTTCACTGTTTATTCCTCCTGCAGGCAGGCTGATTACAATCTGTTGCCATGAGAGCGGAGCTGCCTGTGAAATCAGAAGGACTCTGCTTTCAGGCTGTATCCATAAATCATCTTTAATCAATATTTTATGTCAACCTGTTTGTAGCTTCAGTTGGTAACCAGGTAATAAGTAGGATCGCACACAAATGAGTAAATACCCCTTCAGGCTGAGACAGGACCCCTCTGCTCCTGCTCACCCTGTCGGGGTTCTGGTTCACATAAATCCACCTGCTCACTCAACATTTTCTCTTTGGTGAAACAGAGAAATAAAACTTGTGTATTCTCTCCTCCTTCCTGTTTGAATCAGGCTGCTCTCGTCTAAATAAAGCAGAAGTCAGTCTGTTTTTAAAATAATTACCTGCAACAAAACGGCTGCATGTCAGAAGAAAAGGTGACCTCGTTGAACAGGTAGCAGAGGTGAAGTGTTTGGAGATAATTTTAGATTTTCAGTTAAATCTTGAGAGCCATGTCAAAAGGATTTGTCAGCTGATTGAGGCTGATCTCTGCTGTTTTTAAGATGGTTATAAACTGATTAACGCTCTGACTGTATAATAACTATGATACTTTCACATCTGTCCTCTGATTTAGCTGCTTGGTTTCAGGCCAAGGAGTCAGTAATCAAATCCTCAGAGTGTCTTTACAGCCGAGCCTTAAAAACACTTAACAAAGAAACAAATCAGACATCATCTTCATGTTTGAGGTTAATATAATGTTTGTAGTTTTGGTTTTAAGAGAGTATGGACTCGCTCCTTAGCATTTCTGCAAATGCATCAGGTCTGCAGAGCTGCAGCAGTGAAGTCTCATTCTGCTAAAAAACATGTCAGTTTTCTGTGAAAAGAGCAAAAATCCTGAAACTCGTTACCTGATCGTTTGGAACTTACTGCACACTTCACAACATTTAGGAGAGCCACCAAATCTTGAACAGATCTGCACTCAGCTGTTTCTGTCGCAGTGTCAGCGCTAAAACTATGATTTTATTCTTGCATGTTGGGTCCATTTTAACCTTTATTTTCTCCCTTTTAACTCAATATTTTAATATTTTTTTATGTTCGTTAAGGACGAGTGTTGCAAATATTTGTATGTATTTTGTATCTGTTTCTTTAAAATTAACCTTTATATCATAAAAAAAATCATAAATAACACTAAATATTATTATCTAGTTCAAATTTAGAGTTAAGAAAGGCTGACTTCTCATCAAATATATATGTAGTATTGTTAAAATAAATGTCTTAAACCAGCTCTCTGTGAATTTTAAACTCGTTTTTGCGCTCCTCCAATCACTGCAAGTGCATAAATTGTCTCAAAGTGACCTTTGACCTGTAATCCAAACCATAAGCCGAACTTGGTTTTCATGAATATTGCTATTCTGAGCAGTGATAAGACACTAGTCTCTAATGATCACATGAAATATCATTTTCTCCTGCAGTAATTACTGATGCTTCTCTGTAACTGGGTTTCGGTCTCAGTGGAGTCCTGAAACCAGATCAAGGGATATTAGAAAAGCGCTTTGAGCTGGTTTAAGTGACTGTCAGGCTAATTAGTAACACTGTGTGTGCAAATTCAACATTTCCAGGTGCAGATGGAGGGAATATTTCCTAAACAATGCAGATCCGAGCGAGTTGAGGACACGCTTAGTTCAAGTTTTATCATTTTGTCAGCCAGGAAATGAGATTTCCTACAAGAGTTTGTTTTGAAAAGCACCTTAATTTTCTGCAACTTCCTGTTATGAATACTTTTGTCAGAGGAGGTGTCGCTGGAATCAATTTTTTTTTTTTCTAAAGGGATTTCTTCTCTATTTTCCTCCAAGATTATCAAAATTACACAGTGCATCTGGAGTGCGTGCCCAGTCGTCATCAGACCTGAGTCCTTGTTGCGCGAGCTGGCTCTGTTGTCACCGGCGTTATTTATGGTCCCAAAACTGTGACATGCAATTAGCTTTCATCTAAAGCACCTGACAGTCTCTGGATTAGAGCACTCAGAGGCACATTCACAGAGACCCCACTTCACGGATTAGAGGCCCAACCTGTAATCCAGCCCGGGGAGATTAGGCAGATCAGAGGCAGTCCTGACTAAAGCAACGTTTATATCCAGAACACCCCGACTGACTGCACCAACACTCGGAGGGCCAAGATTTACCTCTTGCTGGCTTCAAAAACATGCGAGCAGGCACAAAGAGTGTGTGTGTGAGAGTGTGTGAGTGTGTGTGAGTGTGTGTTCGATGCATGAATGTGTCTGAAAGAGATAGTGCAGGGAGGAAAGAATGAGAGTGCTGTTGGATAAAGGGCGGGAGGAAAACAAACATGGCAGCGTAAAGGTCAACAGTCACACTTTGATAACTTTGGGCTTAACAGATATTGCTTTGTCAATATTAGGTTTTATTACACACCAAATAAAGGACAAACCCCATCGTCCGTAACCTAAAGTGACATTTACTTTGCACTTAATTGGCTTTATTTAATTGCAGTGTGTCCTATGAATTCATTTTTTATTTAGCAGCTGGGTAGAAGTCGTGTTTCACATCTATTTTCGGTCTAAAAATGACGCAGCACCTTTTTTCGCTCTGATCCTGACGAGTTATATTTGTCTGCGACTTGAGAGCAGATTAGAAAGTTTTCCAGCCGTCTGAACTTCTCAGATTATTTGGCTCGAAGGTTTAACCACAAGACAACTCTGGGATCTATCCGGTATCTTTGACATGAAAAAAGAGAAAAACTGAAAGAGGAATATAGAGGCATGAAGCTGCAAACACGGGCACAGTAATTAAAACTCCTTATATATGTGGGTGTGTGCACAAGAGGACTGCAGTTTCTTAAAGGTAATTTATGCAAAAAATATGAGCACAAAGATTCTGCATTTATGAAATATCAGAATCATGAAGAAGCATTTCATATATTCACAATCAGGATGATTAAAAGCATCTTAGAGGATCTTGTAATGCTACATTATTAATGTGCAGGTTTTCATTTTAGCTTTAGGGTTGAACTGAAAGTCAAATTTACAATATCTGCATTTTTTTGTATTTTTTGTCCCAATATTTACTCTAAAATTCAATTAAAGAATCCAAGATTTTGCTTAAAGATGAAAAACATCCATCACTCCAGTGTTGTGATCTTCATGAGGAAGAGTCAGTCCAGTCCGAATCTTGATTGATAGACGATGAGGGATGATATGGATGATATATTCAAATTTTACAAAACGTAGAAACAAAAAGAGCGCATTCCTAAACGCTGTTATTTTAAAAAGATTACAAACAATAAACGATGAACTCTCATTGAAGCTTTTTTGTTTTTACTCTAGAAATATCTTGATGGTGTGCCTTGTGTTACTTTAACCATAAGCCAAGTCTTCAAAGAGGATAATTACGTATAAGGTGATTTTAAACTAGAATAAACTCTGTCAACATTTAACTTGACTAAATACCAGGATGACAGAGAAACAGGAGAAATTCAAAGACTCTCAAAGCTGAAATACTTTTATTTTTACTCTCGGTCACGTAAACTTTAAAAACAGAATTTGACACTTTAAACATCATCAGGAAGACAAACTGATGTTTTTGTTTAATTTAACTTCTTATAAGTGGATGTGAATCAGTCCCTGTCTTTTTATCCTTTGAATAAAAAATTTAACTCTTTTCTTCTTTAGTTGAACTTGTGTTTGTTCCTTTATCTCTATTGTTTGAATATTTTGTTTTGTCTTCTTTTGTTTGGACCTGAGGGAGAAAAGTTTCTTATCAATACTGCAATAAAAACGAACGAGGATCCTGTGTAAATAAATGAGTCAGCACATAAATAAATAAATAATAATAATAAAAATCCAACAATGATCTATTAAAATCGAACCCTAAAGGCTGATCCTGTTTCTTCTTCTTCTTCTGTCACATGTTTCTTTATATCGATAAACAAACGTACTTTAGTTGAAATAATGGTTATTAAAGTTATTCTAACATACAGTAAAGCAAATATTAAACACATACATATATATTATACCTGCTGGTATGAATTTACTATTATGAACAAGTGTTTAAATCCACAGATCAGTCCACAAGTAAAGCTTTAGTCATATTTAGAAGTTACTGAACTGTTTTAATAAATGACTTTGAAAGAGTGATTTCAGTGATGATTTTAAAGAGTTTCATATCCATGTACCTGTGAGCTGAAAGAGCGTCACAGAGAGGGGAGGGGAGTCAGACAGGACGACAGTATAGACTTACATGGTTCTGGTTAAGATCGTCTCAAAGGTTCGAGAAGCATCAGCGTGGTTCAGTGGAAATGTGACGCTGCCTTTGCAGGAATGTGAAACTGTATTTTGCAAAAATTGTTGGTAATATTTAAAAAGTTTGCAGATGTTTAAACTAGAATAAGCTCAAAAACTTTCTGCTGATCATGATATTATTCCATTGGTGGTCATGTTGTGAGAGCTGCTGTCGGTCATTTCACAGACAAACGTTCCTTCACTTTGTTAAATTCAGTCCAAGCTTTTCACGCTCTGTAAAGGTGAGTGAGGCTCAGGTGGAGCCTCTGGTCGTACGCAGGGAGAAATAATGTTAAAGGTTAAAAAAATTACAGATATTTTGAGATATTTTGGCGCATACTGCTTGACTCCTAACTGTTTAATCTGAGTAGAAGATGAGATTTCTGGATTATTTTGTTCATATAAATTAAACGCTTTTTAAATAAAATCTAAAAATGCATTTAGAGTGATTTTATATATTAAATTTTTCATCACAGCTCCATGTCTGATATTTACTTTGTTTTACTTCATTTTCATTGTTCAACCGATTTGAACTGATATCTTTGTATTTTACAGCTTTTTACTGTAATTTTGTGTGTGTATGTGTGTGTGTGTGTGCTCTTTCTTATTTAAATCTTATATTGTTGTTTTTATTTACACCTGATCTTCCCTCATGATGCACTCTGAGCTGCCTGCTTTTATAAGAAGTGTTGCACAGATGAAGTTAAGTTGCCAAAACTTGTGGTGTTGTCATTGCAAAGTTTAAAAATCAGTGTTGCACCCTTATTTTGACAAGAAAATACACTTACTTGCCAAAAATCACTTCCTTTTAAAGCTTAGGGGCCTAAAATTAAATTTTTTTATCGATGTTAAAGTGTATTTTCAGTCAAAAGTACTCTGAAGTATCTCTAAATCATATTTACAGGCTGTCGTTTCTCAGCGTGGCCCAACTTTCTGACCTGTATTTAGTCAATCAGGAGCCCCCCCACCCTGTAAACCCCATTAAACCGTCTGTTAATATTATTCTCAGGTTTGGTGTATGAGGCAGAATCCCTCGACACAGATAACACAAACAGCATAAACATGCACAAGTCCTTTAGGAAACGACTCTCAGATTGGCAGATGCGGCGTATATGCAGGCTGTTGGACAAACATAAATGCTATCTACTCTTGGCGAGGCTGTGATAAGGCGCAGGCGTCCGCTCTTTGAAACAGGAAGATAAACAACCCCCGGCTTCCCTCGGGAGCTCGGGAGGATATTCTATGGGCTGGACCCCCGAACAGCCAACAAATTTCACCTTTAATGGAACCACCGGAGGAGCCAGATGACTCGGCGGTGGGCTGTACACAAAAAAACCTTGCGAAGAAGAATGAAAGTGTGTGTCAGTTTTCATTTACCTGAATGCTGCGGCTGCTCTGACTGCTGTGTAGGGAGGATTTGTGAGTGCGACAGTGTTGGTTCAACAGAGCAGGAATAGAGAGGGAGCCGGCTGATGGCAGATTTCAGCTGCCACTTTGCAATCTAGATTAAGTGGTGTGCCTGTTTACAGTTCACCTGCAGCATCCTGAAAATTAAAAGATCTGCCGTCCTCTGAAGGTTGTTTTCTGAAAAAGTTTTTAGATTTCTTCACTTTTTGAATTTTAAGGTATTAAACTGATGCTCTAATCCAGAGAGGCTTAAAGTGTGAGGAGCTGTTGCAGGTTAGAGTTTGGCTCAAGGACATGTGGTGGGATCAAACCTGTGACCTTTCGGCTATGATATCTGAAGTCTCGCTCCACCACCTCCAGCAAAATGCTTCTTTTAATCTAATTTATGACTTTCAGATGCTATGAATCATAAGTACTTCTGCTTGGGGAGGGACGAAATACCAGTGCAGCAATATCCTCTCATCCTGACTATCTGAACGCTGGCGCCAAATATTGATACTTTAATTAGAAAAAATGAAGTGGTCTGAACAAATTTCCCCCACGTTTGGACCACCCACGCCACTACTCCTTGAATAAATCCTGCACTCTTCCCCTAAGGGGGGATTTTGTATTATTTAGTTAACAGAAATCGTGACGCATCATTATATAACTGTCTTGCCAATGATCACTGAAGCTCGGTATCATAATGCTATTGTGGACTCCGTACTGGGCCACATCTATTTCTGTCAGATCAGACCATTTTATACTTCATAGTGACGTGTTTTATGGCGTGGATGAACTAATATGAGGTCTGTACTGTATTGGATTGTGTTTTAGCATATCCTTTACATTGAATTTGAATTCTGTCATTTTGTATCGCATCGTATCATAGCATACCGTATTGAAACGTAAAAAAATGAAATGTATTGTAACGTATCATTATTTTATTGTACCGCAATACACTTTAATGTATCATGTCATAATGTATCATGTCTATTGATAATTGTTACATTTTATGGTGCGGTACAGTATAGTTGTATCTCCTCCTATTGTATCTTATAACATGTATATATCGTCCATTATAATGTTATACAATATATTATACTAAAGTCATAATATATGATGTCTATTGTCTATCGTCTTTCAATGTATGGTATGGTTTGTTTTGTGTTTTATTTCATAGTGTCACATAGTATCATATGAGATTTATTGTCTATTGTTATATGGAATCGTATAATAATGTATCATAATGTATTGAATTGTTTGCTAGAGTATAGTGTGGCACTGATCATATCATATGTATTATATGACATATTATTATTTGATAAATCACATGATTTGTAATGTCATAGTGTGATGTCTAATATTATATCTACTGTATTGTAATCTATTAAATTCATCTTAAATTATCACATTACACAGTAAAGTATGTACTTCATGTTTGTTCTACCTATATGTTGAGATTTTGTTTAATTTTGTATCGTATTGTATAATTTTGTTGAGTATCATATTGTAAATAATCGTTTATACTGTATTGTATCATATTGTATCTAATCCTAACATATTGTATCTTATCATGTTGTCTCATATTGTATCTAATCGTATTGAACCGTATTTAATTATATTGTATCATATCGTAGCATATCGTATTTAATCATATCATATCTCATTGTAGATTATATTTTATCATATCATATCCAATTATAACTAATCATATTTATCCGTATCGTATCTAACTGCATATACTGTATCGTATTATTGTATCGAACCTAATCGTATCTTCTCATTTCGGATCATATCCTATCATATTTTATTTCATCAAATTATATTGTATTATATCATAGCGTATTGTATTTGATCATATCATATCTAATCGTATCGTATCTAACCGCATATATTGTATCGTATCATTGTACTGTACCTGATTGTAGCTTCTAATATCGAATCATATCCTATCATATTTTATCGTATCTAATTATATTGTAGCTCATCATATTTAATCATAATTATCTAATCGTATCATATTTAACTGTATCAAATCCTAACAAATCATGTTTCACTGTATCTTATCTTATCATATCTAATCATATTGTATCTAACCATATAGTAGCGTATCGTGTCCTACTGTTCTGTTCCTCATCGATAGCGTTGTATTGTATTTCGTATTCCATCATGAGTAACCCTGAGAGTCCCCCTCCTCTTATAGGCGTTGACACGGCTCAGTGTTAAAGTCTGTTGTCTCCCAATCAAAAGGTTGGAGGTTTAATCCCATCACCTGCTGGTCCTTGGGCAAGACACTTAACCCCACCACTGCACCGGTGTCTGCACCAGCAGCGTGTGAACGAGATAAATTAATACAGATGAGCCCATTCCACTTCAGCCTCTGCTATCAGTGTGTGAATATGGTGAAAATGGAAAAATGTGACATGTAAAGTAGAAACACTTTGCCATTCGCCGTTTAATTTTCCAACTTTACTCTCTAGAAGAAAAGTGGAAAAGCCCAAACTCAATATACATCTTTAATTCAGAGCCACTTTCCTCTGATAGAGAAATATTCTTCAGCACGGGGAGCTAGTTTAAGAGTCTTTAGTGTGCTGATGCCGTCTTTAGGAGAATTCTCCTACCGGGCTCTTGGGAAATGATTGTCGTCATAGTCGTTTACAGTGAATTTAACTTGTCTCGTCTCATGAGGTCCCCCCGTCGCTGAGCTGATGGATCAACTTAGGGCATTTGACGCCCACTAAGAGTTTAGGTCTATGTTCTCGCAGTGATATCAAAGTGTTACCTGAGGGGGGTCAGAGATGATGACAAATCACAAAGTGTGTCAAGACATCACAGGCAGCTGCGGATGGAGCCGAGTCCTATCACTGCAGCAGCGCTTTGAGGGGCCAGGGCACAATTATCACCATGACTTCTGAGGAGGATAAATACTGTACGCGGACAGACTGCGGGATATTAGAGCCGGGCAGTTTAAGAAGAAGAAGAAGAAGACGAAGAGAGAGGAGAAGAAGGAGGAGGTGGTGGTGGTAGAAGAGAGATGGGGGGAGGAAGGAGGAGAAAAAAAAAACGTAGCCACCAGTTCTTCAACTTACCCAGAGGAAAAATGCATAATCATATTATTTCACACACGACTTGGTTCAAAGGCGGCCAAAATAAGTTTGTGAGGTTCCCATGGGTCTGTCAATCTGTTGAAGGAGCTGCAGGCGAAAGCTTAGGATGCACCGAGTACGAAACAATTATGATCATCCCATTAAAGCATAGCGAAGCAATTTGGCAGCCCGGTCTGAAAAAAAAAAAAAAAAAAAAAAAAAACCACAGACTCCCATCTAGTGATGCTTTGAGATCATCACTAACATACCGCTCTGGACATATGAGCCCCATACTGACTGATTAATGCCTGTCTTTGTTTGTGACAGTAACTGAATCCATGTCGGTTAATGTTATTGCCTCTGAAATCGAAGAATCCTTGTTTTCCTTCTAAGGCGCCGTAAAGTAAAAAAAAAAGAGGAAGGGGGGGTGAAATGATTAGTGTGCTTAGTCAGCTGTGAAATTGAGTTTATGGTTTTCAAGACGGTGAATTCAATTCGATAATGGGTATTAAGTTGTAGAGAATAATTAATAGTAATTGACTTCTTTCCATCACTATGCAAATTAAACACAGATAACACCACGGGAGCTTTTTAAGGCCAGTCAAGTTTGCGGGGATTAAGTTTATGGAATTTTTTTGTTGCAGAGAGGAGTGGCTCCTGTTCGCCTTTGATTGCTTTGTTGACAGATTTATCAGCGGGTGAGGGGTGACTGTCTATCCGAGGATTAAAGGAATTGGGTTGTCACAAACTGTCAAGGCATTGAGTTAGGAGCATTCTGGTGTGTTTGTCATAATGGGCTCAGGCTGTTCTGCGACCGCTCTGTCAAATATATCCTCATTGAACTGCATCTGTAAATGGGAGAAAGGAGGGGAAGATGCAAAGGGAAGGCTTGAATGGAGGGAGATATTTAAGTGGGGCTGTTTGCGGGGTGGATTTGTCGAGATGCAGATTTAGGATTTGGGAAGCTTGCGTTCACTCTCACGTCTTGAATTTGTGGAGATATAAATGAGTGGGTGCATGGAACAGTTACAAATCTGTTTTTTTAGGTTAGGTTTGTCGTTAAATGACTCGAATGTAAGGAGAAATATTCAAAAATGTAACACCTGTAAAATAAGTCTGCAGACGGAGACATCAACATTTCTTTAACTTTCACAGACTTATCCTGCAATTTGCATGAATGTATTCTGGCTGAAATGCTCATTTTTACACTCTGAGGTCCTTCTGCCTTTGCACGATTTGAGCTCACTTTTCAAGATTTCTCTCTGTAATTATTCCTTGAAATTTCTGCCACCAGACAAACATTAATCACATGTTGCAGGGATGTCAAACCAGCTGGAATTGAAAGACAAAGGTCAAATCAGAATGACATTTAACTCACCAGAGAGATGAGTGGCAGCAGCAGCAGAGCAGCAGCCCGCAGACATGTGCTCTTCATGCCTCTTCTTTGTGGAGCGTCTCCACTCATGTCAAACTGTCCTTGATCTTCTCAGCCGGCTGAAAAAGAAACCCTCCTCCTGACTGAGCCGGTATCAGCTGCAGAACTTGAGGAGAAATAAAGAGTGAGAGAGGCGGTCCTGAGGCGAGAGCGCAGAGAGGAGTCTTCTCAGGCTCATTCAGGAGAGTCAGGATGGATGTTAGGACGTGGATTTACGTGAGCTGCTTTTCTGTTTTTTTTTCTTCTTCTCCCTAAGATTGTGGAGTGAGCTTTGGAGGCGCAGTGACGAGAAGCGAGGTGTTTGTACATCAGAGTGTCAGCGTGGAGGGACGCTTTATACGCCGCGCTCTGAGGTTCAGAGAGAGAGGACGAGGGGGGGAGGGATGAGGAGACAAATAGAGGGAGCGAGGAGACGGGGGAGCAGAGAAGGAGGTTCATGATAGAGACTTTGAGAGGAGCAACTTTTCTTCAGCGGCGTCAGTGGGTGACATCTAGTGGCTGCTTTTATCCTCTACACTACACCATCTTCTGTAAACATCAGCAGAATGAAAGACGGTGAAGATTTTCCTTTCTAACCCCATGATCAGATGACGACACCTGATAATAACGTCTCCAAATAACAAAAAATAAAACTCTTTGTTCAGTTCAGCTAATAACCCTGATATGTAAATGTAGGTTTACATGTTGTGCTTTAAGATGGATCTAATTCAAGTTAGATATCTCAGGATTTCTAGACTTTAGTAGGGGTGGGGGACATGGCAAAAATATCTCATCACCATTTTTAAAACTAGAGTACGCTCCACCTCAGACTATTCTGCTGGTGTAAAAATGTAGAAAAACAACAACACTCTGGTTAAGTTCACTGTTGGTACAAAACAGCTTGTTTTTCAGGAGCGCATATCAGTTATAATGTAAAATCAAACTCTTTGAATCAGCTGCGTCACTTTGTTTTATAAGTAAGCTCCCAGAATGTACGGTTTTTATCTCAGTAATAAATGTTTGGTTATTCATGCATCAATTTCACACTCTAAGAAGATGTAAAGCACCTGTAAGGAGTTTTAATCTGGTAATCAAAAAGACTTAAACTGACAGTGACGCCTCTTTATAACTCCAAAAAGCAAAACCCAACAATCAGTGACAAGAAGTCTGCATTTCTTTTTCTGCATAATATTTGATGCTTTCAACCATTTTTAAGGGCTAAATGTCAGACAAAATAATTCACAGAACACCCAAGAAGAAGCTTCTAGCTGATTTTCACAGCAAATTATACAATTGACTGTTGCATAAAGTGGCTTTAATTATATTCTCAAACTAGTTAAGTTAGTTTGACTAAAAAGAGATGAAGAAATCACTGGATATTCAAACCTTAAATCAAACTTTTACATTATCATACAGTGCACACTAAACCCGCTGTAGCAGTTCAAGACTCTCTGAGATCATCGTTTTAATTCTACATGATTCAAATCTAAGAGAAATTTAAAATGATTCAAACCTGAACTTGTCTCAATGATGAAAATAGTAAGAATATCAGAGTGTGATTGTTTTTTTAAGTAAAGTGAGACTCTGTCTTTGCATGTCTGTAATCTGAATCTGCTCCGTTGTGGATTCACTTGATGTGGCCAGAGTTCATGGTCTGCATCAGAGTTCATGGTCTGAGCACTAACAACGACATATGTCCACGCTAAGGTCGAGGACATAACTACAACAAACAAATTCAGACATATTTATGTTTATCATTTCTCTACAGTCTGTTCTGATATTACACACTGCTCCTTTAAATCGCTCCGTGACTCTGCTTTTGGAGTTCTTTCTACCGACTAGGCAAAGCTGCAGAGCCACAGAAGGCATTTTACGACTCTCCACAAGGCTGAGAAATGTCCTCGTCATAAATACAAAATTTGCATGGCAAAAAATGTGACAGTTTTGTACATCCAGCTCCGGTTAGGTGCAGGAGATAAAACAGCAAGAAGGGAAAAGGACAGGCTGTCCTCAGACTCCAGACAGACAGTTTGGTGACATCCTCTCGTTCTCCTTTGTTACTCACATGACAGTGGCATGTAACATAAAAAAGCAGCTTTCAGGATCCTGTAATCTGCACAGATGAACCTCAAATCTCACTCAGAAGCTCAAACTTGATCTGAGTTTACATGATTTTAAATATCTTGTTTTCTCGTGTGAAGGATGTTTAAATAAACGGCCCAAAACCCCCTTCATGTGTTTACAACCGTCGTCCTCATTTATTGTCAGTAATTCTTCCCGTACATATAAACATCCTGTACAAAAACAGCTGACCCTCTCCTCTTTTTTTCTGTTTTTTTCTCCCCCCCCTACCCCCACACAACATACAACTTGCATCATGGTTAACAACAATCAGCAAAACCACACACCCAACTTCGCAATATTCAAACTAAACATTTTCTGTGCGATACAAAATAAATGTACACATACTTTGATATTTTTTTATCTTCAAAAAAATAAAAAAATCGCTGTTATTTACAAATCCCACAAACGAAAAAAAGTAAACATTCTCCACACCAGTTTGCTTTAACGTAGAACTCAGCAGAAACGCGTTTTCTTATTATTCACATGTTGTTTGTACAGATTGTTTTCTTTTTAGCTATAGTTCACCTCATGTGGGGCGAGTGAAAACCGACAGAGCACCTATGATACCGATAACTACATGAGAACTTCTTTGTTTAGTGACTTTAAAAAAAAAAGACGGATTAGTCCTTTTTGATATCTAAGTGTATATGATGATTAAAGTGTCCCATTCAAGTAATAAAAACCGTTACAGGACTGTTAGTATTCAGTTATTGTCAGTAAGGCAGATATGACATTTGTATGACATAAATGATTCAAAAGTATTGGCCTTTTTTTTTAAACACGTCTAAACTTCATGTTCCCCACATTAAAGTTCAAAATCAGACTTTTATTTTGAAATTTGATGGTTTAAAAAACAACTTCTAAAGCAGGTTAGAGGACGTCACCCGCTGGTATCATAGTTGAATCTTTATTTGCGTTTGGGCGAAAATAAAGTGATTAACACCAGACGAAATCTACAAACCACAAAATGTACTTTTACTACAACCAAAAAAAGATCAGTTGTGAGAAATAAAATCTATACATATATTTACTGGAGAGTCACACCTGTTTTTGTCGACTGTGACACACCTAAACGTCTGTTTCTTGTTGCCCTTTTTTAAATGTTTTTTCGTGTTGACCTTTTACGCAGCTGATCCTCTGCTCGGTGTTCGTGTCCGTCTGTGGAAGAGGCAGTGTTTTTTTTATGGCAATAGAAGGTAGAAGTCACATGTGCATATCATGCTGCACTAATATAGTGCAATGTAGAGCCTGAAACGCAGAAAAAAGGGTGGAGGCAGGCAGGCAGAAGTTTCCGTGAACGACTGATTGCAGGCTACTCCTCCATCAGCATCGAACAGATCAGTTTATCCCACAAACACGAGCCTGTGCGCCTCTAAATCAAGCAAAAAGAAGAAAGAGGAGAAGAAATGCCTCCCTTTTGTTCAAGACTGTAAAAGAGATTTGAGTCAAAACCCAGTTGAGGATTGAGAAAAAAGCAATCCAAACCTTTTTATGGAGATTTTCCTCTCCCTCCTCCCCCTCCTCTTCCCTGCGGTGACTTTTGGCAACGTACGAACCGTCAGAGCATCCTAAGCCTCCAGCTACTCAGCATTTTTAGGGACAAGCAGAAAAAGGCGCGGGGGAAGAGTTGGAGCTTGTGCTGCCATGTTCAGAGACGGCAGGAGAGCGTTTTTTTCCCTGTCCCTGAAATGAGTCTTTTCTTTACAGAGATGTGAAGGAGGGCCAAAAAAAGGCATTTCATCGAACACGGTGGAGGTCATGACGGCTCTAGCAAAAGAAAATACTTGAAAAAACAAAGTGGGGAGTGAAAGGAGCTCGACTTGAAATGGTTAAACCCCAGCAGTGTCTCTGCTAAGAGGATTTTCTCTAATTTCTCCGCTCTGTGACGTGTCCATTCACGCTGCAAACATCCGTGTCCCTCACTGCAACGGCTGTGGTGAAGTGGGTCTCTTTGACAGGTGAAGTGCTCGGTGAAGCGTCTCCTGGAGGACTACATGTCCGTGTCCCCGTCGTAGGCGAGAGTCAGAGGTTTTAGTCGGTTGTTTTGTTGCCTCTGTCTCTGAGGTCTCTTTGGCTTTTTGCTGCGAGACAAGATTGAAACAGAGTCAGAGAAACACTTGAAGAGGCTGACTGCTGTGTGAACCTACAGCCTAACATGAGTGTAACTGTGAAAATGGAAAATAAAGGGATAGTTCGTCAAAATTACTACATTTTGCATCATATATTTGGGTGTTTTAAACATACGCCAAGATTTCTAAGGTACAATTTTAAGATCCCTGACAGACTCGGCTGACCTGGACTTCCTCAGTAGTTTCCTGATCCAGAACCAGATTCTCCAAACACTGAACAAAACTAAAACTGGTAGGAGGGTAGATATTTAGGAGTCATCAGCTTCATTATTCTAATGCTAAGATGGCAAAGATCTACTCTAAAGTTGACCCAGTGTGCCTCAGATGTCAAATCTCTCCACATGTTTCGGTCGTGTCTATCTTTGGTCAAGATTTGGATGTTAGTTTTTAGTTCTCTCTTAGTAACAGGTGGAAACAATGAACCCAAAACCCCCTGACTGTTATTTTAGGAGAAACCCAGCTGCCCAGTCTATCGCTGGTTATCTCGATTTAACTGGAAGAGCAAAACTCCTCCTCCCTTTAACCAGCTGATCCATGAACTGATGTTGTTACAGGACTTTGAGAAAATAAAGGTGGGTAGTTAACTTTCCTTTTTTTTTCTTGTAATTCATATTTTCCTTCCTTCTTTTGTAAGATTTCGTTGTTTCTTTGCCTTTCTCATCTACATATTTTTATGTCCATCTCAGTGAACTGACGTTTGCCTCCCTGTTTAATTGGGATGGGGTGGGAGATCTTGTATGTCATGATAACTCTACTAGTGTCAATGTTTGTAATTCTATATCAGAAAAACTATAAATAAAGTTGAAGAAAGAAGGAAGAAAAAAAAAAGTCTGACCTTTAGAGAAAAAGGTCGCTAATATGAAATCTCTTGAGGGGGAAAAAGACCTCAAATTTTCACAGGATATAAACAAACTGTTGACAAAAATAGATGAAGTTTACGTGCATCATTTTTAATGGCCAATAGGGGGAGACTGTGGAAAACAGCAACTTTTAATGTAAGAGCACTTTTGATCAATTCTTTAGCAAATAAGAAAAAAGGAAAGAAAAAAGTACTTGACTCAAACACCCACAGAATTTTTGTCATGTAACCCAATGTC